CACATTATCTGTTTATCCACTGACACTGGAGTTGCTTCCATCTTTGGTTATTATTATGTTGCTATGAACATTGGTATACAAGTATGGGTTTTAAGCATACTTTTAATTAATTTGGATATACACTTTTTTTTATTCCAGTACTAGATTTTAACCCCTGGGCTCTCTACCACTGACCTACATCCCCAGCATTCCCCTTCTTCCCTCCCTTTTTTCCTGTTTTTTTTAAGACAAGGTCTCACTAAGTTGCTAAGGTTGGCTTCATACTTGCCATTCTCCTGCATCAGTCTCCTGAATCACTGGGATTACAGGTGCGTGCCAATATGCCCAGCAATTTAAAAACTTCTGAGGATCCTCATACATACGAAACTGTAGTGTCACTGGGTGTGATACAGTGATGCATAACATATGACCCATTTTACATCTCCAATAGTACAGAAGAGTTATGATGTCTCTACATCCTTGACAATATTTTAGAATACCATCCTAAAAAAATGTTCATCTCAAAATATTTTGGGCAAAGCCACCCTTGGCAACTTAGCAAGGCCCTGTCTCTAAATAAAATATAAAAAAGGGCTGGGGATATGGGATGTGGTCAAGCCCCACTTTGGGAGGGAGGAAGGAAGGAAGGAAGGAAATTTTGGGGAAGTCCTGGAGATTGACTCCAGGGCCTCACACATGCGAAGCATATGCTTTATCACTGAGCTACCCTGTCACCCTGTCTTGAATTTTACTACTATAAAATAAATGTGTTAAAGCATCCGGGTGTGGTTTGCTAACACATTTGGAACAGTATCTGTGACAGGGTAAACTCTATGCTCTTTGTTAAATGCACAAATCAGCAAAGTTTACAAGCTGGAAATAATTTTTATACTGCAAGTTATATCACTATATAGCAACTGGGTTAAACTTTTTGGTGGGCGGGTACTATGGATTGAATCCCAGGGTGCCTTACCACAGATCAACATCCCCAGGACACCCCCCACTCCTTTTTGAGACAGTTTCTCTAAAATGCCAAGGCTGGCCTTGAACTTAGGATCCTTCTGCCTCAGCCTGCCAAGTTGTTGGGATTTTAGGCATCTGCCACTGTACCCGGCTTGATATATATTTTTTTCTGTGCACTCATTCATTCTATCAATATCTACCTACACATAGTTTTCTAAACAAAAATAAAGTGATTCCACTTTTTACATCCCCCAGTACTGGGGACTGAACCCCTGGGTGCTCTACCACTGAGGTAAACCTTCAGCCTTTTAAATTTTATACTTTGAAACAAGGTCTCACTGAATTGATGAGGCTGGATTCAAATTTGCAACCCTCTTGTCTCAGCCTCCCAAACTGGATGGGATTATAGGCATGTGCAACTGCACTCAGCTTTTAGTAAAATGCTAAATTACTAAGAAATGGCAAGTCAAACTTTAAGGGAAAGCTCCCATTAGCCTTTGAGCTCACAGATGGATAAGACCTTACCTAGGAAATTGCATTCCATACAGAAGAGGAAACAGTTGTGTTTAGAGTTTCAAAGTAATGGGGGATGTAAAAAGAAAAAAAAAAAAAATTGAATTTAGTATTGCTGAAGCAGAATGAAGCTAGAGCTATTACAAACAAATGTGGGATTTTGTCTTAAGTTTTTTTTGTGTGTGTGTGGGGCTGGTGATTGAACCCAGGGCCTTGTGCACGTAAGACAAGCACTCTACCAACTGAGGTATATCCCCAGGCCTAAAATATTTTCTTTATAATATCTTAAAATGTAGCTTCATTTCCACTGTCTCAGCGCTTATTAAAATTTATGTTGGGTTGGGCACTGTGGCGCACGCCTGTGATCCCAGTGGCTCAGAAGGCTGAGACAGGAGGATCACGAGTTCAAAGCCACTCTCAGCAATAGCAAGGTGCTAAGCAACTCAGTGAGACTCTCTGTCTCTAAATAAAACATAAAATAGGGCTGGGGATGTGGCTTAGTGGTTGAGGGCCCTAAATTCAATCCCCAGTACCAAAAATAAATAAATAAATAAATAAATAAAAATTATGTTTATTCATGGTGCTTTTTTTGGGGAGTCGGATTGGGTACCAGGGATTGAACTCAGAGGCACTATACCACTGAGCCACATCTCCAGCCCTACTTTGTCTTTTATTTAGAGACAGGGTCTCACTGAGTTGTTGAGCACCTTGCCACTGCTGAGGCTGGTTTTGAACTTGAGATCCTCTTGCCTCAGCCTCCTGAGCTGCTGGGATTACAGGTGGTACATGGCTCGTGGTGCTTTTTAAAGACCTAACTTGACCCTGTCTTTCATGTGAGGTGAAACACAAAGAGGTTTGTAATAATATAACACAATTCCTACAGTGCAGAGGAAGAGCTGTAACTGAAACTCCAAACTTAGGAGTTTTCTCCTTTTCCAGCAGAATTTTCCCAGGTCTCTTTATCTCCATCTTTAGGCTTTTAGAAGACTAGGGAAGAGTGATATGGTCACTTTCTTAAAGTCTAAAAAACTCACTTCATTAGTCATTTTCAAAGTGACTTCATGAACACCATCTCCAGATGCTGTTACGAGTCTCTTCTGCTACACATCTTAATTTTCTTGAATATGAGTGCTTTTGTTCTAGTTCCAACTGTTTCTCACACAATGTTCTGTAATAAAAAGTCTGCAAAATGTAAATAATCCTGAGTCCCAACCAAAAGCAATCACAACTAAATTGGAAACAGACTATGAATGCAGGAACACTATATTTATTAGGTCAATAATTCGTTTTTAGCAATACAAGTACAGAATATATCACAATGCTGGTTACAAACATACTTAGTATGATTTAATAATTACAAATAATGGTGGACACTACAAGTCAGTGAGAATGATATGAAAGGTCATTCTGACACAATGAACTGTCTTCAAAAATCTATTAACCTTAGTTATTTCTATAGAAATTACTGTGGCACTAGTAGTGGGGACTTTCATGTAAAGAATGTTAGTGATTTGTTTTTAATTGTTCATTAAGAGCTTTTTATTTTGAGGCTATTAAACTAAAATCCCCTGTTGCTTAATAAAGTATAAAAATAGTACTGACCTGGTAATATTTAATAAAATGTAGCATTCACTCACATCATAAAACTAAATTGAAAAGTTTTAGTTACCATGGCAACATATCTTTCCATAAAAGGAATATACAGAAATGAGTGATGTTACACAAATGGTACCTGCAACGGTTATTTAATGATCCAATACTTAACTGTGCACCACAAACCAAGTTTTCTAGATATCTATATATAGCATATATATATTTAATCTTAAATTTTACTTTTGAAAAACATGTGCACTTCAACAAACTCACTAAGGCCACTCATGCTATAGATACCTAGGATTGCAATTAAGAATAGTATTATTTAATAAGTCCTAAAGCACACTCCTTCAGATCAACAGGGTAAAACCAGCTTTCCACCTAAAACATTCCTGAGATTCGTGGACAAAATAATTACAAGTGTTCGAATTGGAATTTAATCCAAATATCATATTAAAAAAATGTCTTGGTAACTTGAAGTCCTCCAAAGTCAAGAGGTGAAATATGCATTAATTTTTAAAGCAAAAATAAAATTCTTAAAAAAAATTCTTTGAAGTATTTTTCCAGTAGTAACTTTGCCATTCAGAAAAAGAAGTCTGGAAACAACAAGGCTACAAATCCTGGGAAAAACATAAAAATAAGTGCTAATTAACAATGCCTGCTCTTAGCAAATCATTTTTTTTAAGTTTGTAGTTTTGGCCAAAAGCTTCAATCATGTTTTCGGCATGTTTACCGATCAGCTTTCCGTCTGCACTATAAAGAGAATGCCAAATGGCATTCTGATTATTTCTAAGATTGCAGCCATTGTACTTAAAAATGGGGGTTTTGCTGTGTTGCCCGTGGTGGCCTGGAACTTGTGAGCTCAAGTGATCTTCCCACCCACCCCAGCCTCCCAAATAGCTGGGACTATAGGCATGCACCACTACATGTGACTTTCTGTACTTAATTTTTGCAAGATTGTGAAATCCTACAGGTTATGAACAAAGGTCTCTTGTTAAATCCTTTGTTTTCGCAATGCAACAATATTTGGGCAGGGGTTACTACAAAGCAATAGTGAGTGCATTCTTAACTAAAGAACAGATTTGATAGTAGTAAAGGTCCTTATTCTTTGGGCAAAGTCCGTTTTGGGGACCCATAAATATTATGCTCTAAAAAACTGAATAGGCTCTATTAAACTGAAGTTGAAAGTGAGTGACCACCTGTATGGCATTTGTGTGAGAGCTTCCTGATGCCCTCAATTTGAATAGCACCAATCTTTTTGGGTAGAACTCAGGAAATGATGAGACCAAAGGCCCTTATTTAACATTACTTCATTAAGCTTCCAGAAAAATATTTAAGTTGGCCAAGGCTTCCTTACACTGGACCCCATTATATGTAAAAAAGTTTAGTTATTGTGGGTATAATTTTATTACTTTTAGTTTTATTTTTTAATGTCATAAATCATGGTGGCATTCATTTCTCAAATTTGCCCTCAACATCTTTACTAAAGGGATAAATCCTATACTTAAAAATTATTAGGATATTATTATTCATCAGAATCAGAATAATGCAATTATTAAGTCATATCACTAACAAAACAGCTAGAGTGTATGTTTTATAAACACTTATGGACTTAAAGAAAACTACATTAAATTAGCGGTAAAAAGGAAAAACTGCCAATAATGACATGGGGTAGGGGATGACACTGGCTGCCAGCTGACATTATCACCCTGTGATCCAAGTCTTCTAAATATTGTGTCACTTTATCACTGAGTGTGAGCTAAGTGAATTCAAACTGAGTTAGGGAAGATAAGGCTTTAAAGTCTTTTGCTTGATTTTATCCTAGGAAATGTTGTATGTGCACAAACCCTCCTGCCCCCCCCCCAAAAAAACAAAAAACAAACAAAAAAAAAGAAAAAACAAAACAAAAAAAGATAAAAAAAAAAAAAAAAAAGAAACTTCATGTGGAAACATAAGTTTCAAAATATTTATTGAAAAACAATTTACCACAACATTCCTATACCAGAAATATACCATAGGACTCTAATAACCAATAAAAGTATACAAAGCCTATCCTGAAAATATCTTTGGAGGTATTAAATATATAGGTCCATGAGGACAGAGCTGAGTAACTTAAAATGTTAGTCCTTGGTCACACAGACTATTTAGTAATTAATAAAGGGTGACTCTTGGCATCAGACTGCAATTAACTGGGAGGGGGACCAGATTCATAAACTGCAGGCATGCCAATTTATTCTTTCCAGAATTTAAAGAGAATAATTTGAGGAAAAAAAATCCAGATTTCTAAATCACAAAGTTATCATCTTAGGGATCTGGGCTTGCTTATCTCTTCAGGTATACCTCTGAATAATTTAAATGCACTGGCTCATAACTAACAAAAATGCAAATAGCGGTTTCAAACAAGGTTAAAGTTGGGAAGTTAAAAAAAAATATTTAAAATTAAATCACCAATTAGTTTTTCTGTACTCTATGTGAATTTAGAATTTACTCTCACCCAACATGCATGTTAAGAGAAAAACCAAAATTCAATACACACTCACTCACGCACAGACTACTCCAAGCATTAGCTTGGAATAACAACTCTAATGGCCAAGTCATGAACCCCTGAAAATAGGGGAGAAACCCAGATTCTTAACTGTAGAGGCACCAGATGGGCCACTATAATAAGAATTGAGGTAATAGCAAAAGACCTTTGTTTCTTGGTTTGCTACATGTCATAACTTCTCAAATTTGAACATTACCTCAACATTAAATAACCCAACTGACTTAATTTAAAAAATAAGAACAAGAAGAACAAAAAGATGAAAAAGAAAATTAGAACCCAATAAATGGAAAGACAGATTGGTGAAATACAACTATCATTAGGGGATCTTTCCATTTGACTACTGGGTTTCAGATAAAATGATGCTGTTTTACATACCATAAAAGTAAAGGAATTTCTTAGAAGACATATTTCTGGGCATTCATTTTCCATTATCCCCACAGATAACACAGTAACCTAAAATTTCCACCTGGACATGAGCTATTTCACGACTCTTAGCCAAAACATTTGTTTATTGTGTTGATTATTAGAGTAAATTTTAAATAATGGTGGTAGTTGCAGCAGGCATTATAGACTTGCTTATGGCATTGCCATCTATGTACCTTGACTAAAGATGTACCACTAAAAATTACCAAATTTCCCTAGTTCGGTATCTATTATATGAATGTAGTTTGTGCATTATCATTTTCCCTTATAGAGCTAAATGAAATCATTCTATTGATAAAAGTATATGCAGGGGCTAAAATAATAATCTAAAGCCTCTGGTCCAAATAACTACCTTTTCTATTAGGATGGTCCTTTTTAGATCCTCCTGGTCCTGTTAGCAAACGCTGTTAGAGCATCTTGCATTGTTGTACCAAAAACAAACAAACAAACAAAAAAAATGAGTTAAAACCGCTGGTCTATCATATTTTCTATTACTTACAGATCAACACTGGTCCAGTTCAGATGAATCTGACAGTCCTTCTCTTATAATATAGTTCTAGAGTGGTTGTATCCACTTCTCTGGGAAAGGTGGCCAAATCTAAAGTCAGGATGTCCCTCTTTTATTAGTACTTGTGTTAACTTTTCTATACTGCATATAAAGATTTTCCCCATAAAATTTCTTTACAGTACAGTATTGAATACCTCCACATGGAAGAATTTTATGTTAAAAAGTTGTTAAGATCATCCTTACATAATAAGAATGCAACTCTTTTAAACTCTTAAATAGTTTTATTTAGGGGTTCTTTTTTTTTTTTCCTTTCAGGCTTTCTGTAAAACGAATTATTTTTTAAAAAGAAAGAAAGAAAAAAAAAAAAGGGGGGTTTTCTGTTGTTTGTTCTACTAGGTTGAGAATGTGGGCCAGACTACTTATACATGCGATACATGCTGAATATAACTGAATATATGCTTATTCTACGGACACTCTGCAAGATAGGGATTACCCAAAATAGGGCTTTCAATGGACTGGACCAGTGTTTCAATGCAAATTCCAGCCCCCCAAAACAACATGGTTTTGATTTCACAGTATGAATTCCCTGGAATCTGGGAAAAGATAATTGGTTAACTGAGGTCCTCCCTCAGCAACTTGGTCCCTCAATATTCTGAGAAATCAGGAAGGACTGCACCACTTCTTCAGTGGACTGGGGGCTGGTGTTAACGTCTTCAAGAGCATCGGTCACTGAATACTGCCGATCTCGCAACCGGTTCCAGTTAGACAGAACATTGTGATATTCGAACACTTTCTCATAATTTCCAATGGAGTTGTAAAGTTTAATGAGACCTCGGTAATCATATTCTAGTCCACTGTAGCCTTCACCAAAAAGTTTCTTCCCTGAAAATAAAAATAAATAAGTAAAGGAAAGTTCTAATAACGAAATGTAAGTCTTTCAACACAAACTAAGTTTAATTATTTAAATAGACTGGCTTGGTTTTATTCCCCTAAAAGGAATAGATACAATTCTTATATCACTGCCAGGCAAGCGGCACATCCCTGTAATCCTAGCTACTCAGGAGGCTGAGGCAGGAGGACTGCAAGTTCAAGGTCATTCCAGCAACTCAAGTGAGACCCTGTCTCTATTTAAAAAATAGAAAGGTCTGGGAATATATTTCAGTCCTCGGTTTGCCCCCCATCCAAGACCCCCCAAAAAATTCAGTTCAGAACATTCTTCTATCACCACCTCGGAACCATTTCCACCCATGTGCTATCTGAACTTTGAAGGACTGAATTTCTAAAGAAATCTCAAAGAAGAATGGCAGAATTTCCAACAACAAAAAAACACACATACATAAGGCTATGCACAACAACAATGACTGTTCTGGCAAAATATAGAAACAAATGAAAATATTTAGAATAGTTCAATTGTGGTATGATCACTTAATTGGCATAATGTTAAGCTATAATCCAAGAAGGAAAGTTTCAGCACTCAATGAGCTCATATGCAGGGATTTGTAGGGTATGCTAAGTTAAAGAAAAAAAGTCAAAAAATAGTATCTATGTAGTATGCTATATGTTTGTGTAGGAAAATAAGAAAGTACATATTTATCTTTTATCTACATATCAGGAAGTTGGGAATGGATAGAAGAAATGAGGGAATATTACATGTCCCTGGACAAACCTTTCTGTATAGTTGTGATTTTAAGAACAGTAATATTTCACATATTCAAAAAATACTTAATAAAATATGCAGGGAGGGGACGAATGTAATACAAAAATAAATGAATCTAATTGTTTTTCAAATTATTAACATACCCATATTGAAGAGGGAAGTGATAACTCCATCTGCATTTGAACATAGTATTCCGAAAATACACTACTTTCAGGTTAAACACAAAGAAAACTGTAAACAATGATATTACTCTAAGTAGCAGGTTTGTTTTTTACAGGTGTATGTGTTACCAATTCTGAAACTACATGCATTTGGGGACTAAGCAAGTAAGTCAATATATGATGGCAAATGAGGGAGACATGTAAATATGAATACATGATTTATGACAAGGGGAAAAAGACAATCTTCTGAAGAAATGGTCTTGGGTCTATTGTATGTCCATATGGAAAAAAATGAAAAAAAAAAAATTTTAATTATTTTTTAAGATTGCTGTCTCATACTATAAAATAAAGGGCTTCTGTTCTTTAAAAGACACCCTTAGAAAAACAAGCAATAAAATGAGGGAAGATATTGGCAATATATGTAACCAACAAAAAGGGTTTGTTGTATCTATATTTAACTAAAGAAGTTCCATAAATTAGTAAGAAAATGACAAGACAATCAATATGGAAATAGGCAAGAGGTATAAAAGGCACTTCATAAGATGGCAACCATGGCATCTTATTTTGTAATACCTTGAATTGGAAACTATCCAAATCTTCCATAAGTTCATTAACAGTGGAATGGACAATGACACACTAATCCAATAAAATATTACATTATATAACATGAAATTAACAAGTGAGAATGAAATGACATAATACAGATATATTTTACAATTAAGGTTCATTAAAAGAAGTCACATGTAAAAATATCATATAACTCCATTTACATAAAGTTCAAAAAACAGGTGAAGAATCTGTTTTGTGACGTTAAAGAGAATAGAAGGGAGGTGTGGGAGAGATGGGGCAGTAACTGCACTAAGTCAAAAGCAATATTTTTACCTACACTTGACACTCTAGTAAGAGTCACACCTCTTGCTATTGCTTCAATATCAAACAAGCACCATTAGCAAAGTATTCCAGATGATGTCCTGGTGGTATCTGGATATCCTCTGCAATTCAGTAATAGTATTTCCCTTTTACAACATATTAAAAGACATGGTGACCCACTGGTCTTTGAATCAAATGACTAAAGGAAATTTAAAGGTAACATACCAATTGCTATAGATCGCAAATAAAGTTTCTCAGCATTTTCATACTGATTCATGTCATAATTATACAAAGAAGCCAGATGTCCCACTGAAAGGGCTACTTCATAATCTTCTTGACCAAGAAGTTGCTCTTTAATCTGAATTGCTTTAATGTGCATTTCTTCAGCTTCCTGTAAAATAATTATGTGAATTAATATACTTTACTTATGTCAGCAATTCTTACCCAATGAGCAAAATTCTTCTAAATGTCAAAGACAGTTTATGAAAAGTACCATAAAGCAATAAGATCAAAAAATACACCAAGCTATTCCAAGAGCTGCCAATGGAAAACATTCCTGGTTTTTGGAAACTGTGTACTGTACATAAGGTGATAACAGTGATTAGTTTCTAATGCCAAAAGTAAAATAGAAATAGAAAATTGTTAAGAAAAAATTAACAAGGCATTTAAAAATGAAATTTAGTTAATACATTCCAAGATTTAACAGGACCTTGTTAAGGAGGTGTTAATTCATACAAACATACACTTTGGGGGAATTTTGATAGTTTTTATCAGGTAAAAAGATGTTCTTTTTAAAAAAAAATTTTAGGTGTATATAGATACAGTATCTTTATTTATCTATTTTTATGTGATGCCAAGGCTCAAACCCAGTACCTCACCAATGTGAGGCAAGTGCTCTGCCACTGAACCACAACCTCAGCCCAAAATTGAACGTTAAACTCATTCTTTCCTTCCTGTAAGCTCAAAATGGACAATATTAATACATTATAAGCCATAATTCTAAAAGGGATTCAAAATCAGAAATTTTATTGCTACAATTAAGAATATTTAATTATTAATGAGTAATTATACAATTACCTCTTGGTATTAATACCTGTTATTTCTTGCATATCAATCATGTGTCAGGCATTCTGCTATGAGCTGGACATACTTAAGTTAGCAAAGGATTATGTTTGAAGTCTTTTTAAAAAATTTATTTATATATGACAGCAGAATGCATTATAATTCTTATTACACATATAGAGCACAATTTTTCATATCTCTGGTTGTATACAAAGTATATTCACACCAATTTGTCTTCATACATGTACTTTGGATAATAATGATCATCACATTCCATCATCATTTATAACCTCAAGCCCCTTCCCTTCCTCTCCAACCCTTGTACCCTATCTAGAGTTCATCTATTCCTCCCATGCTCCCTCTCTCTATCTCATTATGAATCAGCCTCCTTATATCAAAGAAAACATTCGGCATTATTTTCTCTAACTCCATCCATTTACCTGCAATTATCATGTGTTTGAAGTCTTTCTGTAACAATCATATCAGACTTTTTGATTTGACCTGTTTCTTTTCCATGGTCCCAATTCTCTAATTTTATTTTAACGATTATGTTATTTTATACTCACTGTTTGCTAAATTACTTTGTGAAATTAAGTAGAAATATAATGAATCTATGCTACATTATTTAAAATTACTGAACATTTATTATTTAAGGAGAGAAAAATATGAAATATGTTTCTACCTTAAATTTTCTCATTGACTGATAAAGTCTTCCAAGGTTACCATAGTGTTTTGCAGTCTGTACATTAAATTCCCCAAAAGCTTTTTTAGCTAGTTGAAGTGAAGACAGGTGCAAATCATGAGCTTCTTGAAGCAGCCTCTGTTCAGTTTCCTTATTATGACAGTCAATAGCAATCTCCTCTAAAATAAGTGCTGAATAGAAAGCAACAAATTAGTGTACTTCAAAATCATCTACTAAGCTAAAGGAACATCTAAATGAAAAACAAATAATAGTGATATTTATTGACTATATTTATATGTAATGATAATTTAGAACTGGTCAGGATCATAGGATTCCACTTCAACTGTACATTTTTGCAGAAATCATTCTATTTTAGATAGCATATTCAATTCAAATTTAAGAAAAACAATGGTATAACTCAAATTATTTTGCAGTATCAGTTTCTACTTTAATGGACTGTTTTACCTTACTGATGAGTGTGTGTATGTATTATTTTAAAGTTGTAGATAGGCACAATACTTTTATTTTATTTATACGGTGCTGAGGATGGAGCTCAGTGCCTCATTATTCGAGACAAGCGCTCTACCACCGAACCACAACCCCAGCCCTTGGTAAATATATTTTTAAAGTAAATGTCAGGAAGAGGCAAACTTTTTAATCTTATGAAACTGTATCAAGGAGTACCTAAGCACTTTTGAAATTTTTGAAACCAGCCTTTATAAAACATGACCTTTAACCAAACACAACTAGAAGAACCAGCTTCTTCCTACTTTACTTGACCACTAAGTCAGGCCAGAAGATATTTTATTTTCAAAGCTGCATTCAAAAATTTAAAATTCCATCTAAAATCTTGAAAAAAAATATGTACACACACACACACATACATAGAAAACACACACACACACACACACCTGTATCAATTTCATTTCTTGAAAAACTGTCTACACAAAGGTGGGTAAAAGATTTACCTCAGTGTAGCAATATTGAACAACAAAATGTTAAAGATACAAAGGGTCAGTAACAGAGGTGAGGTTAAATACACTTCTAGAAAAAAGGGTAAATAGCAACATATATTCAAATGGAAAAACTTTCATAATGCATTAGGTGAAAAAAGCAGGTTATAAAACTAAAAGAAATACTTATTCACTTAATTATCTTATTTAAAGAAAAAAGCTGAAATAACATCCATCAAAATGTTGATTCAGAAACGGTAGGGTTTCGGGTAACTTTTCTTTTTTTTTAAACTTGCTTTTAATTTTTGAAATTTTCATGTATTTGAGTAACTTAACTGTCAAGCTCAAGGAAGAAAAAGTCCAGTTCCAGAAACAAGGTAAAATTTATCCAAAATGCATGAAATCACCCTAACGATGACCAACATGTTAGCAAAATAAATGCATTAAATCAAAAATCTTTGGTGGGCTGGGTGCAGGTGGTATATCCCTATAATCCCAGAAACTCAGGAGGTAGAGGCAGGAAGATCCCAAGTTCAAAGCCAGTCTCAGCAATTAGTAAGACCCTGTCTCAAAAAAAAAAAAAAAAAAAAAAAAGTAGTTCCTGAGGTATAATTTGCCTACCATGTTCAATCCCCCAATCCCTAGTACTTAAAAAATACCCTCCTCTATCCTCTATAAAGCTAAAGCTACAAAACCCATAAACCCATCTTCAGTATTTTACTCATGACTATGTAATCATTGTGTAACTCATTATTCTCATAAGAAATGCTTGTATTAATTTCTTGCATGCAAGAAAGAAAGGAAGGAATAAAGAAAGGAGAGACAGGAAAAAGGCACCTTAATAATATTATATGAGAGAAGTGAACAATCTTTCACCAAGAACCACTGGAAACTGTGGAGTTGACAGAATTGGTTATTTTAGAAATACGGAGATACAGTCTAATTCTACTACCTCTGAGAAAATAAACACCCCTATTTTATGCCACACATTATCATTCTAAAATTATCTGAGACTGGATTACAAAGGGTACCTTTCACCCTCTTTGAAGAAGCCAAAAGAAGATGATCTTCAGGTAGGATGTGGGTAATGATACCAATAGCTCTTTCTGCATGAAATCTGCAATACAGATAAATAATAGTCTGGCATTTCTTTTTAGTTACAAATGATTTAAGCATTTAAAAAAAATCATGCTATAATACTGATAGAAAGTACTTATAAAACTATGGTAAATAATCAATTTTTTGTTTGTTTCACATTTTCAATCTATTGTGGACTAAGCTTTTAACTCTGTTACCCCTCCATCCACACAGGCCTACATGATTCCTAGCATGCAAAGCATAGTCTCACCCTTGCATGTGATTTACCCTCTCTCTGCAATGCTCTTCCCCTGAATATTCACATGGCTCACTCTCATTGAATAGGCCTTTCCAGAATAGACTACATAAGTCTCCCTAAAAATAATCTACTATCATTCTCTAAACTCAGTCTTCTTTATTCTTTACAAAGTATTCTTATCTGACATGCTTGGTTACTTGTTTTATGTTCCATCTCACCAAATAAAAGGTAAGCTATTTGTCCATTTTATCTGCCAATTTTCAAACAACTCTAAGCCTCCTATCTCTATTTCTAGTAATTCTAAAATTTCTCAAACCTATCTTCAAATTCACTAATTATCTCTTTCTCGTAATTAAACCTGATGTTTAACCTGTTTACTGAGTTTTTTTTTTTTTAATATTTATTTTTTAGGTGTAGATGGACACAACACAATGCCTTTATTTTTATGTGGTGCTAAGGATCGAACCCAGGTCCTGCCCGTGCTGCTCAGCTCTCTCCCACTGAGCCACAATCCCCCAGCCTTGTCTACTGAGTTTTAATGTCGATGATTATTTTCCATTTCTAGCTATTCATTTTATTTTTTTATAATAGGTCTTTTCCTTATGAAGATTTAATTTATATAACAAGTTATTCACCTATTTAAATAAATGTATAACTCAGTGATTTTTAAAATATATTCCATTATACAGCCATCACCATAATCAATTTTAGAAATATTTTCATCACGTCAAAAGAAACCCAGGTCCATTAGTAGTCACTCCCCATTTCTCTCCAACTCCCAGCCTAAGTAACATTGATTTACTTTCTGTCGTTATGGATTTGCCTATTCTGGACATTTCATATAAATGGAATTATACAAGATGTGATCCTTTTTGACAAGCTTCTGTCACTTAGCACAAAATTTTCAAGGGGTCAACTGCGCTATAGTATCAGTTATTTTATTTTGAAATCTAAACTGAGTACTTGTAGTCCTAGTCTTCTGAAGGCTAAGGCAGAGTGGCTTAAGCCTGGGAGTCCCAAGCCAGCCTGGGCAACATAGCAAGACCCAACTTGGGGGAAAAAAGTAAACACAATCTTTATTTTCCCTCCAAAATATTACTGATTTTTTTTTTTTTTTATATTAAGATTGGCAAACTTTTTATTTTTTTTTTTGGTACTGGGGATTGAACCCAGGGGTGTTTACCCATTGAGCCACATCCCCAGCCCAGGGTTGGCAAACTTTTAAGGGGCCAGATAGTAAATATTTTAGGTTGTGTTGGCCACACATTCTTTGTCCTAACTATCTAACTCTGTTGTTGTGGTATTAAAGCATTCATAGAAAACAGATGAATAAATGAATGAGTAGGGCTACATTCCAGTAAAATTTTATTTTGCCTGCAGGCCACAGTTTGCTAACCCATCTTATATCTTTAATCATTAAAGAATACATACTTCATAATATTTTGACTCAAGTTCAAAGGGTTCCAATCATTATGTTTGTTGACCCTCACTCATAGAAAAATGTTTCCTTATGTATTTTGTAATTTTTGATGGTGACTTCACTTTAGGTAGAGCTATATCTATGACATACTTGTAAGTGTTTTGGGTTTTCTCCCAGAAGATATCCCAAGAGAACTAGCAGCTTCACAGTGCTCTTCAATGTTTTTCTCAGTCTGTAGGTTCCTGCATACATAATCCCCAGGCTCCAAAGTGATATAATCTGTAGTTAATACATTCCTCTGTGGCACTCCTTTAGTTTACTGTGAGCCCAAGCTCAGATAATGTTTCCTTGTCATGTCTCTGCTGTGGGGTAATTTTTCCTTCCCATTTGTCCTTTTCTTGAGGTATACTCTTGTTTGTTTTTTTAAATATTTATTTTTTAGTTGTAGTTGTCAATACCTTTATTTTTTTTACATGGTGCTGAGGATTAAACCCGGGCCTCACACGTGCCACATGAGCGCTCTACCGCTGAGCCATAACCCTATGCCTGAGGGTATACTCTTGATCCTGGCTTCATGTGAGGGTTTCATTTCTAACTCAACAGCCAGTTACAGAAATTTCTAAGCTTTCCTACCACCCCTAAATGGTTTACACCATAGTTTGTGCCATTGAATTTTTAATGTCCATTATTGATTAAGGATTTATCCTCATTCTTGCAAGCTCAGTTACACATTTTAAGAGATGACTGTAATATTTTATTCAATATTTCTGTGTGCTTTAAGCAAGATGTTTTTCGGTTATTAAAATGGTCTAATATTTAGCCACAGGCTGCTGCATTACTCAAAGAAAAATTATTTAAGAAAATAATCAAAAGATAAATCATTTTCTTTATAAAAATGTCTCAATATTAAACTATAGAGTCTAAATGAATAGCTTATAAATTGGTATGATTTTAAAATAACTTAAGAAACATTTTAGGCATCTTCTTAAAGCTCCGAGAGAGAAATTTAATCCATAAACTAAATTAAGTACTATTGTATTGGGGAAAAAAATAAAACAAACAAAAAATGGTATTTACTAATTTACTGAGAAGGAATGTGGAACTTACAGCGCATTGTCAAATTTTCCAGAGCTATACTGGTGAACATAAGAAGAATAAGCCAAGTCTTCATGTGCAGTTGCTACATGGATATTTTTGCCACCAAACACTGACTGTCGAATATCAAGGGCTGCCTGAAAAAGTAATAAAAATATTTAATAATATTGTCAGCCTTTAGAAAATACCACCTATCTTAAATTAAACATTTTAATATTTTATATACCCAATCTCATAAATTTAATTTCTAAAATATTAGTTTTTAAGCCTTCTATGTAATAGTAAATTAATGAGTGCTCTATAAAAGGAAGGCAGGGCTCAAAGAGTTAATTTTGAAATAGTGATTTATATACCATGAACAAACACAAGTCGGCAAGTCAATTTATGGTGAAAAGAAAAAAGAACCATCAACATACCTGATAAATTGCAACAGACTGACAGATATTATCTACATTGAGTAAGTAGAACCCATAATCTAGCAGTGTATCAGAATATTTTGGGTGTTTGGATCCAAAATGATCCCTATAAAAAGATGAAAAACTATTAGTATATAATGGAGAGTAACAATTCAAAATGACATTTGTAAAAGACTTAAAAACAACATACTACAGGGACACAGCCACATCAATATTTATAGCAGCACAATTCACAATAGCTAAACAGTGGAACCAACACAGATGCCCTTCAGTGGATAAATGGATTAAAAAATGTGACATATATACACAATGGAATTTTACTCAGCAATAAAAGAGAATAAAATCATGGCATTTGCAGGTAAATGATGGCGCTAGAGAAGATAATGCTAAGTGAAGTTACCCAATACCCAAAAAACAAATGCCGAATGTTTTCTCTGATATAAGGAGGCTGACTCATAGTGGGGTAGGGAGGAATTGATGAATTCTAGATAGGGCAGATGGGTGGGAGGGAAAGGAAGGGGGCAGGGGATCAGCAATAATGGTGGAATGTGATAGACAACATCATCCTAAGTACATGTATGAATACACGAATTGTTGTCAACATACTTTATATACAGCCAGAGAAATGAAAAATTGTGCAGTATACATGTAATAAAAATTATAATGCATTCTGCTGGCTTTTTAAAAGAAAAAAATCAATAAAAATAAATAAATAAAATGACATTTGAAATAACCACCACCTACCGTGCCAAATACACTGCATGTTTAATTAATTGTTCTGCCTTCTTAAATTCACGTTTTACTACACAAGCCTAAAGATGATAAAATGAAAAATTGTTACCTTTTAAACAGTTCATCAGTGTGCTAAAATAAATATAGTTTATATATTTTAGTTATAGTAGTAAGAAAAAAAATCTTCAAACAGAAAGATTCTATTTGTAATTTTTTTATTTCCAAGTTATTTATAAACTATTATAAACAGATCTGCATATAACCTAAAAAAAACATAAAGTTTAAAATTTTTACAGCCATTTTCAGTGCAAAACCATGACAAAGTTTCCTAACAAAGCTGGTATAACTACCTTCCTTATTATTAAAATAAAATAGTAGGAGGAGGGCTTATTGTAATATTTTCTAAGGTACTTAGAAAGGTACCTTAAAGTACTAATCCCAGTTCTGGAGTGGCTTACAATGATCTTTCATAGTTTTCCTGTAATATATTTTTTCCTAAGTCTACAGCACCTGATATTCCAGGTGCTCTCCCATGTAAGTGCAACCTAGGCCCAACCCTCACCTTAAGATATCAGATGAGATGGGGAGTATTTAGGGTGGTATGCCTTAGACTCAACTAATAATTTTTAAATACACAGATTTTCAAGTTTTTCTATTATTTCTCAAAATATTTTCAACCATGAGGATTGTCAGTAGTTTTGAAACTCTAAATACCATTTGCATATAGGAATATAAATCTTACATATTTACTGTCTTTATGTTAACTGAATATTTGATGTTTTTACATAATTAAAAACATACTAAGATCCCTTTTATAATGCTGATGATAACCTGAATATTTATGCTGCCATTTACTTGCTCCAAAATAAGTGATTTAATATTTGCAAAAATATTGCAGTCTTCTAGGATCCATAATTTTGTAATATTTTTTTCCAATTGAATTTCCATAAGCCAAACTGATGAAAGTGGAATATTCAAATTTGAGAAACTTCTAGAAAGACTATATGCAAAAAAGTACATTAATGCTTTAAGGCTTCAGTGAACCAAAGCAGTAATTTTTACCCTCCCCCACCTTATGCATACTCGGTAAGTACTCTACCAATGAACTACATCCTCAGATTCCAATGCAATAATTTTTAAATGCTACTAAGTGGTGAAAGAATTAATGCATTTGTTTACAGAATAAGAAGAAACTACAGAAAGATTAAAAACAAACAAACCTATCTACCAGGTTAAGTATAGCAAGGTGTCTTGCTATGAGAGTGCAATATTAGAGTAAAACACTTAATACTAGGTTATCCTTAAGGAGAAAAGTGATTATAGCCCATATAGTTTTGGCCTAAAGAATTCAGATTACTCCACAGATTTAAAAAAACCAAGAACTCAAATCAGAATAACCCCAAAATACCATAATCTGTACTTCAGTGAACTGAAACAATTATTAAAACGAATTATATCACAATTTTCTTGAAAAAAGAAAAGTAATTAAAGTCCATGTAAGATAGTTTGGCTTAAATACCAGGTTTCTAAAACCTGGCACAGAAACTTAGAATTTAGATCTTGGTAGTATATACAGTATACAATAACTAAGATGTTAAATAGTAAGTTAACTAAAACAAATTTAAATCCTGATAAATCCTATAATTCATTTAATAATTTTAACATGATATTCACCTTAGATGCTTGTCTCAAAACATCAACCACAACTTTAACTGGTAAGCCTGCTGTAATCTCTTTCATTGCTTCAATGCACCATTTGTATGCCTAAAAAACAAAAAATTTTTAGAAGAAAACAGAACAATTTGATAATTCAATTGACAGTACTTAACAAAATGATTGCAGATTTTTCCAATAAGCTATCAAGTACATAAATAACACACCAAATACTTACACTTAAAAAGTTTTGTGAGTCTTTATTTTCTTGAAAGTATGAATGTTACATTATTTTTACTCTTAATTATGTACAGGTTTTCTGAATCAGACCTTGCAGATATATGACATATGTTCAAGAAATGAGAGGCATGTGCTCTTTTGCCCAGAAGTCCTTATACATATTTCCTCTGCCTTAGAATACATTGTCTCTTCCTCTAACTCTTTAACACACCTAACTTGTCTTTCAGGTTTCAGTCCTAGTCTGTTTCTTGTATTTTATACTTCCCCTATTATAACACTTATTATTTTATATCCTGATCAGCCACGGTGGCATGCACCAGCCTTAGTAATTTAAAAAAGACCTGTCTCAAAATAAAGAGGGTTGGGGATATAATTCAGTGGTAAAGCTCCCATGGGTTCAATACCTAGTACCAGGGGAAAAAAACCTTAATTGCCTGTTTAGTTAAAATGCTTATGTTGTGCTAGCTATTGTTCATAAAGTGCCTGTGCTTTATGTTATACATTCAATCGACAGAATAAGCAGTCCTTCTTGTTCTCTGCTCCAAGATTTTTAATATTCCAGATAGATGTCCTAAATAAACCATAGTGGGTCTTGAACAAAATGTAAGCATACTGTTAAGTGCAGCTGTAGTCATCCCAAGTATAAACAAAACAACAAACTTTTATTGTTACAAACCACTGTTATTTTGGGATTAATATTGACTCCAGACAGCCTACCCTATTGTGACTAATAAGAATTTGGTGATAATTCATCACACTATATCCTCAAGATATGCACAGTTTCTTGAAGACAGCAATGAAAAGTTTATTTATAAAAGAATACACTGTCAAATTATCCAAGAAACAACAACAAACTTAAACATTCCTCATGAATGTGCTAAGAGCTGCAAAGATCAAGAGTAAGGCATCATTTAAACTACTAAACCCAAAGAAATAACTGTCAATTAAGTAGTAATGGCCTAAAAGGAAAGAAAATGGAAACTGGTAAATAAAAGGCACCTGAGTAAAGAATGGCACAATACAAACTACTCTATGTAAGAGGTAGGGGTGGGGGATGGGGGGGTGAGGTGGGGGACATGACTACAGTGTTCTAGAAAGCAGTATGAGGGAAAAAAGAAAAGAAAGGAAATGATGAAAGAGGAAGCAGAGATGGCTGAGTTCCTATGCAAACATAAAAAGATGTTGGTGCATCTAAGAACTGTTGTTTTTTAATTTTTTTTTAGTTGTCATTTTATTTATTTATATGTGGTGCCGAGAATCAAACCCAGTGCCTCACACATGCTAGGCAAGCGCTCTACCACTGAGCTACAACCCCAGCTCAGCATCTAAGAACTTTTAAAGACAGGTATTACTTAATATCTATTGTTAACCTCACTCTCATTTTCCATGAAGTCAAGTATCTGCACAAAGATCTTCTGTGAATGGAGCTGTTTTCTGGTGTGTGAGAATTAGAAAAAGGGGCCAAGCCCTACATCTAAGTTGATAAACAATTATGCATCACTCATTGCACATAAGGGGCAATAAAACAATCCACCCACAGAACAAATTTAGCAGACACAGGATCTCAACATCAAAAAATTACACATACACTTATTTCCTGAAAAACTATAGGCACGCTGATATGGATTTTAGATTTTTACATGTCAGTCTTAAGTATTCTTACATAAATATTAAAAAGGCACAAACATCCTTTTTCAACTATTCTATAATTTTCTGGTATCACTGCTAATTGTAATTTCCCTTTAAATATGGCATATATACTTGGAATAGGACAAAAATAATTATAGGGATAATTTTAAAATATGAAAGCTAAATGATGACTGATAGCATGAAATAATTATGATATTGTCCCATAAAATAAAGCAACCAAGCAGCAAAGCACACTAGTCAACTATGTATTTATTATCACCAAAGCATTAATTTAATAGTATAAAACTAGGAATGAAGCAATCTTATTCATGAGGAGGAGGAAGGAGAAAAGCAATGCTATAAGGCATAAATAAAAATCTAGCTTCCAAGTTATGAGAGTTCACCCAGAACTACACATCTAATCAAAAACATCTATTAAGGTTTACTTACCAGAGGATATCACTAAAACAATTTAGGCAGAGAAATACTTGGTTAAATTAAAAAATAAAAAAAGGCCCTGAATTGTATACACACACACACACACACACACACACACACACACACACACACATTTATTTATTTTAAATATTTTTATTAGTTATTGATGGACCTTTATTTATTTGCTTATATGTGGTGGTGAGAATCGAACCCAGTGCCTCACATATCACACATGCTAGGCAAGCCCTCTACCACTGAGCCACAACCCCACCCCTGTCAAATGAATTTTACACACACACACACACACACACACACACACACACGGGGCTGGGACTGTGTGGCTCAGTGGTAGAGAGCTTGCCTAGCATGTGTGAGGCACTGGGTTCAATTCTCAACGCTACATATAAATAAATAAATAAATACATAGATAAAGGTCCATCAACAACTAAATAAAAAATTTTAAAGAAATCCATTTGATAAATACTTCTTTAATATTATCTTAAGTATTACAAATGTGTACTTGCTTTAAGTAAACTTAATATGTGAAACTGAGATTTATAAAGCATATGAGAAGACTATTTGATTTATCCGTTTTATGGGCAATTATTGGTCACACTGACATATACCTCAAAACACTTACCTCATCATAATGACTTTTTGCAAATAGGAGTGCACACAGTTCCCCATAGAGTGCAGCTTTGTTTGCTTGCTGGCCATGTTTTGACAGTTTATCCATATATGTCTGAGCCAACTTGAATGTTTCTTCACCCAAATGATATTTGCAGTTTCCATTTCGTACATGAAGCAACCTGTAAAACACAAATAACTGTCCTTTATTTCTGGTATTCCACAGCACATATAACCTGATAACTTATTTATTTATTTTTTTGAATTTTAATATTTATTTTTTAGTTTTCAGCGGACACAATATCTTTGTTTGTATGTGGTGCTGAGGATTGAACCCGGGACGTAGGCATGCCAGGCGAGCGCGCTACCGCCTGAGCCACATCCCCAGCCCCCTGATAACTTATAATTACTATGTAATGCTTAAATAACTGAAGATAGATGAAAGAAATGAGGCAACATCAGAAAAAAATTGGCCCAGACTAGGGTTAATTAAGGCCCATAAAAAGTACAATACAGGCCAGATGTGGTGGCGCACACCTGTAATACCATCAGCTTGGGAGGCTGACAGGAGGATCACAAGTTTAAAGCCAGCCTCAGCAACAGCGAGGTGCTAAGCAATTCAGTGAGACTCTGTCTCTAAATAAAAAATACAAAATAGGGCTGGGGATGTGGCTCATTGGTTAAGTGCCTGAGTTCAATTCCCAGCACCAGAATAAACAACAACAACAAAAAAAGTAGAATACATGTTCTTCCAAGAAACTTCACATAATTAACCTGATCCAATTTTGATTTCTTATCTTCTCTAAGTATTTTGTACACTTTGTGTACTCAGCATGTGCTATATAAAAAAAAAAAAAAAATTTACTTTTTTGGTTCCAAATCCAAAAGTAATAGTTTCAGTATAAGAAATCTGAAAATAGCCAGGTGTGGTGGTACACACCTGTAATCCCAGTGGCTCAGAAGGCTGAGGCAAGAGGATCTCGAGTTCACAGTCAGCCTCAGCAAAACAGAGATGCTAAGTAACTCAGTGAGACCCTGTCTCTAAATAAAATACAAAATAGGGCTGGGAATGTGGCTCAGGGGCTGAGGGTCCCTAAGTTCAGTTCCAGGTATTAAAAAAAAAAAAGAGGGCCAGGGATATAGCTCAGTTGGTAAAGTGCTTGCCTCTCATGCACAAAGTCCTTGGTTCAATCCCCAAGAAAGAAATTTGGACAATAGACCAGATGTGATGGCACACACCTGTAATCCCAGCTATTTCAGAAGGCAGAGGCAGGAGTATCCCAAGTTCAAGGCCAGCCTAGGCAACTTTGAGACGCCTGTCTCAAAATAAAAATAAAAAGGACTGGGGATATAGTTCTCAATGGTAGAGCACTCCTGGGTTCAATTCTCAATATTGGGGTGGAGGGTCAAGGAAAGGAAAGGAAAATAATGAAGGAAATAAAAATCAGCCTGAGATACCATTACCCACCATTACTTTTCATTCTTATTTTAGTATATTTGCATAATACTTGGTCACTGATTTCATGAATGCTCATTTTTGCTTATTTTATGGGAAATAGCAGTATATCAGTTACTGCTAACCTTTATCCTTGGTGGCAGAAAATACAGTGTTCTTTACATAAAGTAACTGTACAGCCCATCAATCAACTTAATGATATTCAAGAATACTAAAACACTTTAGATCAGAATAAAGTCTAAATAGCAATAGACTGTACATCTATATAACACATGAGCACAATGTTAGGACTAAATAAATATATCTTATTATAATGATGGCTTGAACATTATGTCAGGGCAATATTATTTTCTTTGTATTAGGCTAATGCAAATTTCTGATGCTCAGCTTGAAAAGGAACGAAAGTATAAAAGATATTTTAAATGAAAGCCAAATGACAGGTTCAGAGGCACAAACCTGTAATCCCAGTGTTTCTTTCTGAAGCAGGAGAATTACAGGCTTAATGTTACCCTGCTTAGTGAGACCCTGTCTCAAAAAAATAAAAGAGGCTGGGGTTACAGCTCAGCAGTAAAACACCCCTGGGTTCATTTGGCTTGGGTAAACATTTAGGAGTGATGGATGGGTTGGATTGTAAGCATAGGAACATAAATTTAGAAGAAATAGTCATGGGTATGGTCACACCTGCCTAATCCTAGCTCCTGGAGAGGCTGAGTCAAGAGAACGCCAAGTTTAAGACTAGCTTGGACAATGTAATGAAAAATAAAAAATAAAATTGGCTAGGAATATAGCTCAATAGTAGATCATACCTGGGTTCAACTCCCAGTATCCCCTCCAACCCCGCACCTCACATACACAAAAGAAAAAAAAGGAAAGAAATCCAAGTGAGCTGAGTGTAGCTCAGTGATAGAGCACTTAACCTAGCATGCACAAGATCCTAGCTTTGATTCCCAGCACCAAAAAAAAAAAAGGGGGGGGGTCAGGGGGAGAAGGAAGGGAACAAGTACGGAAAGGAAAGGTTGGGAAGCATTCTTCAGGGGTATCACAAGTAGAAACTTAAGATTTTTCTTTTTTTAGCTACACCAAAAATATTAACAGGTTAATAACCCAAAATGAGAAAAATTCAATTTTTTCTCCTCTATCATTTCTTTCACAGGGAAACAGAACAACTTCAAAAAAAGCTAAGGACTATTGATTAGAAAGACATTTAATCAATAGGTGGTGTATACATACTATAGTGTAGTGCCAATAATCACCACAGTTATCTTCATTTCAAAAAGAATAAAACCCTTATACAAAATAATATTCTAAGGTTATTCTAAAATTCCAAGTATCTTTTTTACAAGTCAGAGCCAAGTAAACTTGTAAAACTAATGGGTAACTCAATTGGATGGTTCCTTATCTTCAAAGAAAAATAGTGCTTGGGAAGGGAGTATTTCTTTTTATGGACAATGTGGAATCTGTACTTGATACCTGGCATTGGAGAGCTAGCCCAAAACAACAGACTCACAACAGACAACAGGAAGATGGAAAGAACTTATTTCCTTGATAATCTCCATGAATTCTGCATTAATCTGCACTCAATGGTGTATCATCTTTTTTTTTTCTTCCTCCTTTTTTGAGTTCAAACTAGGGATTGAATTTAGAGGCGTTTAAAACTGAGCCACATCCCCAGCCCTATTTTGTATTTTACTTAGAGACAGGGTCTCACTGAGTTGCTTAGCACCTCGCCTTTGTTGAGGCTGTCTTTGAACTCCTGACCCTCCTGTCTCAGCCTCCAGAGCAGCTGGGATTTCAGATGTGTGCCACCACGCCTGGTAACACTGTATTATCATTTTATCAAATGCTTTGTATTTTGAGGATGCACTGCTATTTGTGAATTACACAATCTATTATCAATATCCCTTTTGTACCAACTAAATCCCTTTTGTTTTTATCCTGAATTCTTCATTGTCAACATTATTGTTTTGGTGTGTCTCCTCTTAACAATATATGGCTAGATTTTATTTTAGCCCTTTTGGCAATTTGAGGAACTAAGAAGATTTACATGTATTATAATAATCATTATAAATGCTTATAATCTTTTCATCTTATTTTTATATATCATACTTAGTCATGTCTATATTTTCTTTCCTTATATCAGTTGATCAAGTTTCTAATCCTTCTAACCCATGCTCCCTCCGCTCAAAACTGGTATTTGGACATTAAATAATGATGCCCATTCCTACTTTCCCCACCAAGATGAGACATTTATAATGCTGTTACTTCTCTATTCTCCCAAATGTATGCTTAAAGAAATAGGCTATCATATATGCCTAATACAAAGTAATTTCATTTTGCATCCAAAAATATTTTTGGTATCCATGGGGGTCTTAGAACCAACTACTTTTGTATACTAAGGGAATAATAGCATAGTAATTCTGATTGTTTCTGGGCAGTGAGATTATGTACAACATTTATTTTATTAATAGTTACTAGTTTCTGTATTTTAAAATTTGTTTGGCAATAGACATGTATGAACAAAAAACTACAACAAAAACGAGTAAAGGGAAATAGGCAGAGTTTCAAAGGAATAAAAAAAAAACTACTAAAAAAAAAAAAAAAAAATGGTACCAAGTTTAACTACAGAAAGACCAAGAAGGCTCTCTGACATTTGCTCTATGTTTCAATGCCAGCCTTAGATTAGAAACTGACTTTATAATATTAAATTGAAGAACACACTTTACTCTTGCATCAAGCTCAAAAACCCTGAGATTTACCAAAGGATTCCATTAGTATCTGTTCTGAAAAACATTTCTTTTCCAATTCAACTAAACACATGGTCAATTAAAACCCCAAATTTTCCCATGCCTTAAACACATCTAAATTAGCAAAGTGTAATCTTTTTTTTAAATTAATATTCAGTAGATGATTATATACTACATACTAACTATATTACATATACTTATATTGATGAAGAATTTGGCTAGTATAGTTGTGTAGAGGCAAATTTTTATTTTGAAATTTCTTTCAAAAAATATTTTTTAATATCCATATAACTTTTAGTTGTAGAAGGACATAATTCCTTTATTTTATTTGTTTTTATATGGTGCTAGGGATCAAACCCAGTGCCTCACACATGCTAGTCAAGTGCACTACCACTCAGCTACAACCCCAGCTCTGAAATTTCTAATTTGTAAGTACAAACTCACTTGTCCTAGTACACAGACAGTAAGCTGAAACTATAAATGCTATTGTTTCTTAGTCTAGACAACATTCTAATTTCCATGTGCTTGTTCCAAAGATATTATTTACTGTATTTTTAGCTACCTATTCACTATCCTCTTTCCTTTCTTTCTTAATGCAGACCCTGAATTCATTCAAGGTAGCTATATGCACAATTAAAAATGTTTTACTCCCTAGAACACCTTACATGGGTTAAAGACTATAATGAATCCTAGCTTTCCCGTTTAAGAAACAGGTAAGCAAAGGAAGGAAGGAGAAAGAAAAAAGCAGACTCAGCTGGAATGAGCCTTCTGCCCTTCCTTTTTCTCCTGAGAGAGAAAACAACTTGCAACCCTAAAGATGTGAGCTACTTGCTAGAAATGACAAACAAGGAAGGAGAGAAAGTGCCCAGGTCCTGCAAGAAAACTAACCCAGTGTGTTAGGCTAAAGTAAAATTTATACAAAAGCCTTAAAAATTAGAAAAATTAGGTTATCTGGATGGAATAGATCTTCTGATCCTGTGAATAAAAATCAAGCACATGAGAAAAAAAATGTTAATAGCTTTTCTATTCCTAATAAACTAGTTCATACACATAGAAATATTTAACTTCCCACACCACTATGAGATAGTCTTATCTCCTATTCTTAAAAAGATAAAATAGGCAGAAAAAGGCAGATGACAGAAAGATTATTTTCATCAGTACTACAGATTATAAACCCAAACACTAATCCCTTTATAGTTTCTGCACACAAATATCCCTATAATTTATCATATAGTACTTCTAACAGACATATGGGCAATTATAAGCTTCCAACTTATTTATAACTAAGATTGCAAACTAAAAAGCTAACTTCAGGATTTGAATGTTTCCATTACACAGGTAACTATATAAACAGGACAATAACATCCTTAAAAGACTGGAGGAAAAAAAAAAAAAAGCCAGGTGTTGTAGCATATGCCTGTAATCCCAACAGCTTGGGAGGCTGAGGCTGGAGGATTCTGAGTTCAAAGCCAGCCTCAACAACTTAGTGAGGTACTTAGCAACTCAGTGACATCCTGTCTCTAAATAAAATATAAAAAAGGGCTGGGGATATGGCTCAGTGGTTAAGCATCCCTGAGCTCAATCCTCAGTACCAAAAAAAAAAAAGAAAAAAGAAAAAGCGCTATACTCAATTTTAGCTTAAATCAACAATGGATTTAATATCTAGACTATATCTATATTCTAGCTCTGAAGGGGTTTGGCTTTGCTAACTCATCAGCTCAGTGGTAGGGCACACCTGAGTTCAATCACCAATATAATGAAAAAAATAAAAGAGAAAAAAAAAACATTGGGTGGGCTGGGGTTGTGGCTCAGGTACAGGGCTTGCCTAGCATGCGTGAGGCACTAGGTTTGATCCTCAGCACCACATAAAAAATAAATAAATAAAATTTAAACCTACAACTAAAATATATATATTTCTTGAGTTTCCTAGAACCCATTGCCTAGCACAATTCCTAGCACATAAATCTTCAATAAATGTTTGTTGAATAAACCCTATGAAAAAGCAAAGAGATATACAGATTCACATTCTGGTTCATAATGCTGAAATCTAAGCTAAGACATCCATAGCAGATTCACTATATTCTGGAGATGGAAAACAAGCCAGATTAATGAAATTATGACATAGAAATATCATCTCACAGATTTACACAGATGTTAGAGCACACTTAAAAGAGCTAAAATTGTAGAAGACATTGTATACAATCACAGTATGTAATTACAGAATCTGTTCCAACTTACCTCACACAACATTCTACTGCACGAAACCAGTGAAGCATCTCATCATGTAAGGTACACAATTGAAGGCAAGACAGAAAAACTTTCTCAGCATCACTGTACCAGCCTGCATCTGAAAGAAAACCACCTGCAGAAAAAGAAAAGTAACTTTAGACAATTTAGTAAATTGCCTGAAAGCTAAAATGACATGATTACAGTGAATATTATCTCAACTAAAAAACTAATATTTTCACCTTGCAGTATACATATAACTTTTCAATCTCCGTAGGCCTTATTGCAAAGACAAATGGCTCTTATAAACTCATTCTTCTTACTCATCATAGATGAATATACACATAAAAGGGATGGTGATGCTTGTCATCTCATTCTTTTGGCAAGAAACTAATTTACTGACTAGCAATAGCTTTAATGTATTAGACAATTACCTCAAAATACCGTCCTTTTTTTTTGTTTTGTTTTTTGAAGGAACCTGATCTCAAAAAATGGCTAATGATGCATTTTACTACACTGCACAAACTACTTTGTATCATTATGGTAAACATTCCACATGAATTTTCTTATCTAATCTTCACAAAACACTTTCAACTTAAATGCTATTATTGCCCCAACTTTTTTTCTTAAATATTTTTTAGTTGTATTTGACACAATACCTTTATTTTATTTTATTTATTTTTATGTGGTGCTGAGGATCGAACCCAGGGCCTCACACATGCTAGGTGAGCGCTCTATCGCTGAGCCACAAACCTTATTGCCTCAACTTAATATGGGGAGGGAGGGGGACTTCAGGCAGAGAAACCAAGTTACAAGTTGATAAGTGGAAAGACTCAAATTCATACTATGTGACTTCAGAGGCTAAATCTGTATTTGCTATTATGAAGAACACTTTCAAGTTGCTACTCAGCATTAGTTAACAATAGCCAGAAAACAAAACTGCTGTATTTTTCAATCCTAAAACACATACTTTGCACATTTTTTATATTTTTAATTAATTAAGGTACTAGGAATTAAACCCAGGGGTACTTTAACACTAAACTACATCACCAGTCCTTTTTATTATTTATTTTTTATATATATATTTTTTTAGTTGCAGACACAATACCTTTATTTATTTATTTTTATGTGGATTTTAAGGATTGAACATAGTGTCTCACATGTGCTAGGCAAGTCCCTACCACTGAGCCACATCACCAGCCCCTTTATTGTTTATTTTAAGACCAGGTCTCACTAAGTTGCTGAGGTTGACCTTCAACTGTAATCCTTCTGCCTGCTTCTCAAGTCACTGGGATTGTAGGCATGTGCAAGTGCACCTAGCTCTTTTTGAATGTTTTAGAATCTTTAAAATTAGGACAGATCATAAAATTGGTGTCTAACATTAATAGTGGTAGCACTTTTTTTTCTTGGTAGCATAAAATATATGGTGTGTCATTTTAATAATGTTAATAATGAGTCAGCCAACAACATATATTTCCTCATACCCATGTTTTATGTTTTTTAAAAAATATCTTTAGGGGCTGGAGATGTGGCTCAAGCGGTAGCACGCTCGTCTGGCATGCGTGCGACCTGGGTTCGATCCTCAGCACCACATACAAACAAAGATGTTGTGTCCGCCGAAAACTAAAAAATAAATATTAAAAAAAATTTTTTTTAAAATAATAATAATCTTAAAAAAATATCTTTAATTATAAATGGATACAATACCTTTATTTATTTTTATGTGGTGCTGAGGATCAGACCCAGTGCCTCACACATACTAAGCAAGCACTCTACCACTGAGTCACAACCCTGCCCTGTTTTATGTTTAATTAAAGCAACATACAGCTAAATATTATTTCATTAATTGGAAAGAATTGTGCTTTAGAACATTTTAGGGCCCTTTCCAAGAGACTAAACTAGAATAATAAGATTATTATAAATATTTGTACTAAGCAACCTTCTACTTATCATACCAATGTACTATATAATGTGCTGATTATCATGCTGTTTCTCAGCTTCAAATCTCCTTTCTAGACTTTATGATGTTGATGCAAGGATTCTTCAAACCACATTTCTCCTTCTTTACCTGGCTCCCTGTTGGGTTCTGCCAATAGGAAGTGCTAGAGAGCAGGGGCTCCAAGACTGGAAAAGCAAGTAACACCTTTTCCTATTGCTGACAGGAATATGTTTCTTCACTCTGGCAGTGGCAGTTCATTGCAGTCAGCAGCAGTCAATTCCACTTGGAGTTTTCCAATACTTGCAAAACCAGTTTCATAGCACACTATCAATAATACCAGCAACAGCTAGCCTGTTGCTAGTTCTTGGACCCCCTTTCCAGAGCTTTGAGGCACTGGTATCAATGTTGCAGCATTCCAGTTCCTCAAGCTTTAAATTTTCACAATTAGGTAGGCATGGTGATAAATGCCTGTAATCCCAATGAGTTGGGACACAGGAGGATAGCAAGCTGCAGGCCAGCCTTAGCAACCTGGTATGACTTTCAGCAACTTAGAAAGACCTTGTATTCAGATGTTAAAAAGTGGGGATGTAGCACAGTGGTAAAGTGTCCCTAGGTTCAATCCCTAGCATCAAAAGAATTACACAATAAAAACCTATTTGTTTGGTTCCCTAATCCCAAATGTAGTAGCTGATTCTTGGAGTTGCTATTATTCATAATAAAAACATTCCAGGGGTTCCCTTTTTATATTTTCAGTGCTCTAATAAAAATTTGTGATATCAGGGCTAGGGTTATAGTTCAGTGGTAGAGCTCTTGCCTCGCACATGTGAGGCACTGGGTTCAATTCTCAGCATCATATAAATGTAAATAAAGTAACAATATTGTGTCCATCTTAAAAAAATCTTTTAAAAAATTTGTTATATTAAATTCTATCTCTACAACAAGGATAAGCCTTGACAACATTATGCTATCTAAAACAAGCTAGTCACAAAGAACATATGTTTTATGAGTCTATATTAATAATTTACAACAGGTAAATCTACAGAAAGAAAAAGTAGACTGATACTGGCCTGGAATAAGAAGGAAATGAGGAATGGCTGTTAAAGGGTATAGGTTTCTATTGGGGTGATGGCAATGTTGTAAAACCTACTCTGAAGATGTCTATAAAATCTGTGAGTATATGGAATATCACTGAAAAGTACACATTATATGTTCAAATTATACTGTTTAAGAATTATGTCTCAAAAAGGTTGTTATTATTTAAAAAATCTTTACTACTGTGTACTTCTGGCATAAAGTTTCTTCACTCTCTGAATGATTTCATAATTAAGTCTGATGATATGATTCTGAATTTGCAAGGGCTTGGTTCAATCTCCAAGATATCTATCTAGCACATCACAATGGCCAGGTTGGTGTACATACATGTGGATATGACAGAAAAACTCAATGAATACCACCTTTCCTGTCTTTCACCTTTTTTGATAATAAATTTTTTTCTATAGCAATTTTCATATTACCTTCTAGAACTAAAGGGTTGTCACTGTTAACATCGGTCAAGATCATATATTCTCTATTTTCAGAGACATTCTTTAAACAATCCTTTTTTTCCCAAACTTCCATGAGCCAATTCAAGGATAAAAGCTGTACGTTGTTTTCAGAAAAGAATGTTCTGAAGTGCGCCCAGCAAACTGGAAAGACCACTACGAAGAACTGTTTAAAGACTGAAGGAAATGATCTTGAAAACTTGCTGGCAAAAAATGTGTGCACACAAGAGAGAGAAAACATGCCCACGTTAATTTTTTTTAAATATTTTTTATTTTTTAGATGGACTCAATATCTTTATTTTGTTTTTATGTGGTGCTGAGAATCGAAACCAGTGCCTCACGCATGCTAGGCGAGCGCGCTACCACTTGAGCCACACCCCCAGTCCCTCAAAATAAGTTATTTTTAAAAAATAACTTTTTAGGGCTGGGGTTGAGTTCAGTGGTTGGGTTCACAGTGCTTGCCTAGCACATGTGAGGCCCTGAGTTTGATTCTCAGCACCATATAAGAAAATAAATAAAATAAAGTTATAGGCTGGGCGTGGTGGTACATGCCTATAATCCCAGCAGCTCGGGAGACTGAGGCAGGAGAATCACAAGTTCAAAGCCAGTCAGCAGTGATAAGGCACTAAGCAACTAAATAAAATACAAAATATGGTTGGGGATGTGCTCAGTAGATGAGTGTCCCTGAATTCAATTCCCAGTACTAAAAATAAATAAATAAATAAAGTTATAAACAAAAAAAGAACACATGCTTTAAAAAATAACTTTTTCAAATAGGGAAAGAAGGTAACAACAATTTCAAGTTTGAAACATTATTTATCTATATACATTTGTGAAATGTTTACAAATAATAAACAATATTTTTCTGTATGTATATCATGCAAAACTCTTCCAGAATGTTTTTACATTTATGTTTTCATTATCCTCATAACATCTCCATGAAGCAATTCAGAATAACCCTCATTTTAGAGACTAGAAAACTGAGCCCCAAAAGGATTAAGTCCCATGCCACAGCAAATACTAAGCAGGTGAAAGAGTTTGGAAGCAGCATGACATGATAGAAAGATATGTGCTTTGTAATCAATCATATAGACACAGATTCTAAACTTAGCTCTTTACTAGCTATGTGACTTGATCTGGTTATTCAACTTTTCTATTTCCTCATATGTAAAAGGTTAAAGTACTTCAGGACTGGGGCTGTAACTCAGTGGCAGAGCACTTGCCTAGCATGTGTGAGGCACTGGGTTAGATCCTCAGCACCACATAAAAATAAACAAAAAAAAATAAATAAAAAATAAAGGCATTTAGTCCATCTACAACTACAAAAAATTTTTTAAAAAAAATATCATTACTTCACTGGAACGTCATGAGAATTTAGGATAATGCCATTTAAATACCTAGTATAGTGCTTAGCACAGCATTAATATCCAATAAATTACACCTAATTCTTCTGATATTTTACTCATAACTTCCCCATATAGACTTTGGGAAATTCCTGGAGAAATCCTTTATTGTTGGGTTTACTATGAGTTCATAATAGGATAAAACTCTCCCCTACTAATAGTATTACTTACCTAAAACAAAGCCAACCTGAATGGCTTTTTCCTTTACTGCAGCATCAGATTCTGCTATGTAAGAGCACCGTCTACTAAATGAGTAGGCCAAGACTGAAGCAACTTTAACACCATGATCCATCAAAGCCTGAAAACAATGATGAAGCAAATGTCTGAAAAAGAAAAAAACATTTAATAGAGGAATCTTATTTCTTTCCTTTTAGAAGGCTAGTTGCTTTTCTCTATTAATATTAGTATCATTATTTCCCAAGATAAAATGAGATAGAAAGCATTTTGCCTTATGAATTATGAAGCTATAGTAAATTAAAAATTTAGCCCATCACCAGGTACACCGGTGTATGCCTATGATCTCAGTGACCTGGGAGACGAAGGCAGGAAGATTGCAAGTTCAAGGCGAACCTCAGCAACTTAGAAAACCCAGTCACAAATTATAAAAAATAAAAATAAAGGACTGGGGAATATAAATATAGCTCAATAGTAAAGCCCCTGAGTTTAATCTCCAGTTAAAAAAAAAAAAAGACAGACCTCAATTAAAAATGGGCAATGGATTTGAACAGATATTTCTCCAAAGATCTATCCACAGTCAATAAACATAAGATTCTTAATATCATTAGTGACAATGGAAACGTAAATCAAAATCACAATGAGAAACCACTTCCCATCCAAGAAAAAGGTCATAACTTTTTTTTTTTTTTTTAAGTATTGGTAAGATGTGGAAAAACTGGAACCCTTATACATTAACGATAGGAACGTAAAATGGTGCAGCTGCTCTAATAAAGTCCGGCAGCTCCTCAAAAAGCTAAACATAGGGTTACCATATGTATACACCCCAGGCATATACCTCCCAAAATGAGAATATATCCACAAAATCTTATCAATGAAGGTTCACCACAGCATTATTCATAATAACTAAAAGATATAAACAACCCCATCCATTCATCAATGGAAGACTGGATAAACAAGAGTATTATTCATATAACACAAAATTATTCAGTCCTAAAAAAGGGAAAGTAGGAACAACATAAATAATAATATCCCTGAAAATATTACACTAAGTGAAAGGGTCAATCAAAAAGACACATATTGTATGATCCATTTACATGAAATATCTAGAATAGGCAAATCCATAAAGACATAAAGATTAATGATCAGCTAGGGATTAAGGTTAAGAGGAAATAGGGAGTGACTTAACATTTTTTCCTTTTGGAATAATGGTATGTTCTAAAATTAAGATAGTGGTGATGGGAGTTGTGGAGCTGTAGCTTAGTGGCAGAGCACTTGCCTAGCACGTGTAAGACCCTGGGTTTAATCCTAAGTACCACATAAAAATAAATAAATAATTGTACATTGCTGGTGGGACTGCAAATTGGTGCGGCCAATTTGGAAAGCAGTATGGAGATTCCTTGGAAAGCTGGGAATGGAACCACCATTTGACCCAGCTATTCCCCTTCTCGGTCTATTCCCTAAAGACCTAAAAAGAGCATACTACAAGGATACTGCTAAGTCGATGTTCATAGCAGCACAATTCACAATAGCTAGACTGTGGAACCAACCTAGATGCCCTTCAATAGATGAATGGATAAAAAAAAAAAAAATGTGGTATTTATACACAATGGAGTATTACTCTGCACTAAAAAAATGACAAAATCATGGAATTTGCAGGGAAATGGATGGCATTAGAGCAGATAATGCTAAGTGAAGCTAGCCAATCCCTAAAAAACAAATGCCAAATGTCTTCTTTGATATAAAGAGAACAACTAAGAACAGAGCAGGGAGGAAGAGCATGAGAAGATGATTAATATTAAACAGGGACGAGAGGTGGGAGGGAAAGGGAGAGAGAAGGGAAACTGCATGGAAATGGAAGGAGACCCTCATTGTTATACAAAATTACATAAAAGAGGAAGTGAGGGGAAAGGGAAAAAAAAAACAAGGGGGAGAAATGAATTACAGTAGATGGGGTAGAGAGAGAAAATGGGAGGGGAGGGGAGGGAGGGGGGATAGTAGAGGATAGGAAAGGCAGCAGAACACATCAGACACTAGTGTGACAATATGTAAAACAGTGGATGTGTAACCGATGTGATTCTGCAAACTGTATACGGGGTAAAAATGGGAGTTCATAACCCACTTAAATCAAATGTATGAAATATGATATGTCAAGAACTATGTAATGTTTTGAACAACCAATAATAAAAATTAAAAAATAAATAAATAAAATAAAAGGTATTGTGTCCAACTAAATTAAAAAAAATTACAGATTATGAGTAAGGAACCTCGTAGTTCTTATCCACTGCTGTAATCTTAGCATACAGAACAGTACCTGGCACATCCTAAGCATTCAACAAATATTTATTTAGTTAACTTGCTGAACAAATCAAATAATTTGGCAATATTCACATTTAAGATCAGCAGTGTTTTGTGAAAGTACATATTCTCTCTTTTTTTTTTGGGGGGGGGGGGGAGATACTGAGGGCTGAACCCAGGGGTGCTTTTATCACTGAGCTACACAGCCAGCTCTTTATTTTGAAAAGGAGTCTCACAAAATTGTTGAGGCTGACCTCAAGCTTGCAATCTCCTTACCTCAGCCTTCTGAGTATCTGGGATTACAGGAGTGCACCAGTGCAACCAGTTTGTGAAAGTATATTCTGATTTCTTTAGAAATGTGGATTAGGGCTGGGAGTGGTGGTGCACTGTAATCCCAGTGGCTCAAGAGGCTGAAGCAGGAGAACTGATAGTTCAAGGCCAGCCTCAACAACTTAGCAAGACCCTAAGAAACTTAGTGAGACCCTGTCTCTAAATAAAAAATATAAAAAGAGCTGGGATGTGGCTCAGTGGTTAAGTGCCCCTAGATTCAATTCCTGTTGTGAAAGAAAGAGATAGAAGAAAGAAAGAAAGAAAGGTTAGGTGAAAAAAATTGCAGTTGAAGCGAATTCATGGAAGAGAACAGCAAGTATAATCAAAGACCAGATTATCTCTCTGTGGCTCCTACTTCATAATACCTATAATGAGGGCTGGGGATATAGCTCAATTGGTAGAGTGCTTGCCTTAAATGCACAAAGCCCTGGGTTCTAATCCCCAGCACCCCCCCCCACTCACCCCCCTATAATGAGGAAGCTAAATTCTTGAACTCAAAAGCTAAATTTACAGAGTATTAACTTTCCAAAGAAGATGGAGGCAAGTGAACAAATTCTCACTGTCACCAAACTTGTTTGGATTGTACAATTACTGTGATCATTTTCTTTATCATGCTAACTGGTCTTGAGTTGTAACTCTTAAAATGCTTTCATATTGTACTTCCAGGTATATCTAATAGATATGCATATATGTTCACCAAAAGACTTGTTAATGGATAAATGTAGCAGCTGTTTATAATAGCTAAAAACCAAACAGCTCAAATATCTAACAACAGTATAAGTAATGACATATAATGGAACATTGTACATATATAACAATGAGAATGAACAGACTATAATAAATAGGTGATTCTCATAAACATGATGTTGGGGTGGTTGGAGAGGCAGACATAAAAGTATTCATACTATATGAATTTACCTAAAACAAGCAAAATGAACCTACTGGTTCCCCAATTTATAAAGGCAATTTTATTTCATTCTAAGTTTTCTGATATGATCATATTTAAGAACTACTTTCTCATTACATAGACTTAATTTTAAAAAGCCAATTAAAATGAATTTATGGTAAATAACATGAATGTTCCTCAAAATATTTAAAATAGAACTACCAGTGATCCAGTGATTCCACTTGGTATACTTAACCAAAGACACTAAAAGCAAGGATTTGAAGATTTATTTCTACACCCATGTTCACAGAATTTTTATCCATATTAGCTAAAAGGTGGAAACAACACAAATATCCGCTGATTGATGAATGGATAAACAAACTGTGGCATATATACACAATGGGATATTATCAAACTTCAAAAAGGAATGAAATTTTGACACGTTACAACACAAATGAACCTTAAAAACATATGCTAAATCAAATAAGGCAAAAACAAATGAACAAATACAGGATCCTACTTATATGAGGTACCTGAAACAGCAAACTCACATAGACAGAAAGCAGAATGGCAGCTTCAGGGCTGAAAGAAGGGAATGGGGAGTTATTTAATGGGAACAGAGTTTTCATTAGGGATGACGAAAATTTTATGAAAATGGATAGCGTTGATGGTTGCACAACAAGGTGAATATACTCATTGTCAGTGAATTGTATACTTAAAAACTGTTAAATGGTAAATTTTATGTTATGCATATTTTACTGTAATTGTCTTAAAAAAATTTACCTTTTATCCAAAGCTCTCAATACTTTAGCAAAAACTTCCAACTCACAAAATTCACTGCCCAGTTGACATAAGCGTCCCTGTTGGTAAAGCTGAAATAAAAATGAAAAATGATTTAAAATTTTTAAATTTAATTTTAATTTCTACTTTTAATTATATTGATAAAGTTAATATTTGTGGTTTTAATGAGTAAGATTTGAAGTCACAATAATTACAAAATACTATCAGGAAAGATGCTTACAATAAGAAAAATGGAATACTAATTTAACAAATTCCCACAATTCATATAATAACAGTTCACTAATTTTCTGTAAATGTTAAGAATCAATATTTGGAGGGCTGAAGCTATAGCTCAATGGCAGAATGCTCTCCTCACACATGTGAGGCACTGGGTTCGATCCTCAGCACCGCATAAATAAATAAAGGTATTGTGTCCATCTACAACTAAAAAAATAAATGAAATAAATTTTTAAAAAGAATTAATATTTGGAAAACACAGGCTAGGGAAGTAGTTCAGGAGTTTTCTATCTTGCCCAAGAACCTGAGTTCAATCCCCAATACCTCATTAAAAAACAAACAAACACCAAAACACTGTAGTGGTACCTAAAACATGGTAAGCATTACTAAGTGCCATATAATAATATTTTATATTGGCGCACGCCTGAAATCCCAGTGGCTTGGGAGGCAGAGGCAAGAGGATCATGAGTTCAAAGCCAGCCTCAGCAACGGTGAGGCACTACACAACTCAGTGAGACCCTGTCTCTAAATAAATACAAAATAGGGCTGGGGATGCAGCTCAGTGGTTGAGTACCCCTGAGTTCAATCCCTGATACCTCCCCAAATTTATATAATATTATATATTATGATATTTAATATAATAACATTAAACATAAGCCCATTATTCAAGAAACTTAAAACCATAACTTTTTTCCTTAATCCATCAAGTTCAAGTTTTTAATTCTGTGAATATTTCAACAATACAAGTGCATTAAAATAGGTTAATATTTATTGTTCAATTAAGGTTTTTTAGGTGTTCCATACTGGGATAATGAGACAAATTGGGTTTATCAAAATTGGATAGTTAAATTATAAAAAAGGGAGGCAGGGCTGGGGATGTGACTCAGTGGTACAACATGTGTCTAGCATTGTACAAGGCCCTGAGTTCAATCCCCAAGAAAAATAAAATAAAATAATAGTAAAGACAGTGTCCAGAAAACACAGCTGTCAATATGCTCCACTAGAAGTTCTTATAACCATCTAAAGAACCTTAGTTTACTTCTGGACATGATATCTTCACCAGTACCCTAGGAGTATGGCAGGATTTCTAACTGTCCAACTCATTTATACATTGATTTTTCAGAATTGTTATTTTAAAGAATATTTCTAAAAATATGTTAAAATTTTTCTCTCAAATAATACATGCACATGGTCAAAAAGAGACAAATACACCCTCCAGACCCTGTAACAAATACTTTTGAATTTACATATGCTGTATAAATAACATGGGACTTTAGAAAGAGTTCAAAATGACTGCTATAAAAAAAATCCATGACAATTGCTGGAGGAAAGAAGGGACAGATTATCATGTGATTAAATTCACATAATGGTTAGATAATTTATATTAACATTAAAACCTTCATGAGGAGCAGGGCACAGTAGCACATGCCTGTAATCCCAGAAGCTCGGGAGGCTGAGACAGGAGGATCAAGAGTTCAAAGCCAGCCTCAGCAATGGTGAGGCACCAAGCAACTCAGTGAGACCCTGTCTCTAAATAAAATACAAAAAGGGGCTGGGGATGTGGCTCAGTGGTCAAGTGCCCCTGAATTCAATCCCTGGTACCTTAAAAAACTTCATGAGGAAAGATTTACTATTTGGGGGGATTACTGTTTTCTGCTACAGAAAAATAAGCTTCATAAAACTATTAATCAATCATTGTAATATTTTCTTATTAACCAATACAGAATAACAAGGAAAATAATGTGATAATCTTCTGATCTGGGGCAGAACCACAAATATAGTTATCAAGATAAATATACAGGGGCTGGGGTTGTGGCTCAGTAGTAGAGCGCTTGCCTACCATGTGTGAGGCACTGGGTTCGATCCTCAGCACCATATAAAAAAATAAACAAATCAAAGGTATTGTGTCCACCTACAACTAAAACAGAAATTCTTTAAAAAAAAAAAAAAAAAAAAGGGCCGGGGTTGTAGCTCAACAGTACAGTGATAGCCTTGCAGTGTAAGACCCACCTGGGTTCGATCCTCAGCACCACATAAAAATAAATAAGTGAAACAGAGGTATTGTGTTCAACTACAACTAAAAAATAAATATTAAAAAAGATAAATATACATATTCCAAAAACACTAAGGTTAAAAAGCTTAAGCTTCTTACCAAAATGACTGACTCATCATTACCCAACTTTAGGCTTAGAATTTCTTTTATAAGACAGAAAAAATGAAAACAAGTTATATAACCATTTTGCCTGTATTCACTAGTTGAAAATACATAAATTCAATTTTATGTGTTCTATGACTTACAATATCGCTTTGATGACTGAAAATTGGTCTATTCTACTAAGTGAGATTTGAAAATAGAATTTAGGATAATTGCTGCCTTAGTTACAGTTTCAAAATATTCCCTATTACAAGCACCAACATTTCTATATACTGAAATTTAAATTTTCTAGGTAAAAATGGGTTCACATTTAAATTGTGGGAAGAGGATAATAATTTTTTTATTTAAGTTTAATTGCTTCATCCTTACCAAATTTAACCAATAAGTGCAAATTAATACAATGTATGACCTAAAGGGTTTTTTTTTTTTTTTTTTTAATAACAATCTCGTATAAAAACAGCATCTAGAACTGGGGTTATAGCTCAGTGGTGGAGAGCTTGCCTAGAATGTATGAGGCCCTGGGTTTGATTCAACAACTAAATCGCACTTAATTATTATTATTATTATTTTAGTTGTCAATGGACATTTATTTTATTTATTTATACATGGTGTTGAGAATTGAACCCAGGGCCTCACACGTGCTAGGCAAGTGCTCTACCACCAAGCCACAATCCCAGCCCCTAATTCTTATAGAGGTCTTATGAGACAAGGACTGTTCTCAGTGCTTTTCATAAGTCAGTCATTCTGTCCTTTTACAGACATGGAAACTGAAGCATACGAAGTTAAATAACATGCTCAAACTCATACAATTAAGAAATGTTAGGCAAGGCACTGTGGCACTTTCCTGTAATCCCAGGCACTAGAGAAGCTAAGGCAAGAGGATCACAAATTCAAGGCCAACCTGGCCCCTGTCTCAAAATTTAAAATAAATAAATGTCACACACACACACGCACACACACACACACATTTCTTGTTCTTTTCTTTTTTTTAAGGGGCTGGGGATGTAGCTCAGTGGTAGAGCACCCTGGGTTCAATCCCCACTGCCACCAAAGAAAGCAATGCAGGAATCTGACCTCTGGCGGTCTGTTCCTACATCCATATTCTTAATACCTTACAATAAACTGCCTCTTGAAATAACGAAAAATAAGAAAGCATAAAATGGGAGATTTTAAATCTTTTAATAGAAGACCTAAAGATTAACATAGAGAAGGGGAAACTGAGGTTCTAGGTTCTAGTAATGATCTTTATATCTGATTTTAAAAAATAGACTCATTTTAGTTCATTATTCTGATGTTTATATTCTGTATCTACAGAGTAATAAAGCTATGGAAAGGTTATTTTGAGTATTTCTAGCTTAAGAAAAATAAAAGTCAAATTATTCCTTATTCCTAGAAGTAGTCTAGATGTAGTAATACCTGCCACCAGATAGAGAAACAAATAAAACATACTTTAGTATATGTAACAACATATGACAAAGGCATTTTAATTGCTAAAAGAAAAATAGTTAATAGCAGCACATGAAAGGGAAAACAAAAATACCTACCTGATAAAATATATACCAGATTTATCAAAATTTTAAATGTAAAAAAAAAAAATTCAGAGCTGGGATTGTAGCTCAGTTGTTGAACGCTTGCCTTGCATGTGTAAGATGTGTGAGGCACTGGGTTTGATCCTCAGCACATTAAAAAAAAAAAGTGAAACTGAGATATCATGTCCATCTATACCTAAAAAAAATATTTTAAAAAAATTTAAAAATATTAAAAGTGCTCTACCACTAAGCCACACCCCCAGTTCTAATATTACTTCTTTTAAACACTGATTATGGGCTTGGGTTGTGGCTCAGTAGTAGAGCGCTTACCTAGCATGTCTAAGGCACTGGGTTCAATTCTCAGCACCACATAAATAAATGAATAAAACAAAGGTCCATCAACAACTTAAAAAAAATTTACAAAACAAAATAACACTGATTATATCACACAAAAAAATCATCAAGGAAGCTAGGCCTGGTAGTACACGCCTGTAAGTAGTCTGGGAGGCTGAGGCAGAAGGATCGGGAGGTCAGAGACAGCCTCAGCAACTTAGTGAGGCCCTAAGCAACTTAGCAATACCCTATCTCAAAATAAAATATAAAATGTGCTGGGGATATGGCTTAATGGTTAAGTTCCCCTGAGTTCAATCCTCAGTAACAAACAAACATACATCAAGGAAATTGATTGTATAAAAACCTAAAATGTTCACAAATATAAAATACTATTAAAATTCAACAATACTACATAAAATATTAATAACATATGTGTAAGAGTTATTTTCATTAATACACAAAGGGGTCTAATAAAAAAATGAACTGCCTAGTGATGTTTTTAGAAGCAAAGGTTTCCAGGATCTAAAATAAAAATCTTGAAAGAAAATTAAAGCAACTATTCCCACAGCAATGCAAGACAGCCCAAAATCCAGAGAACTCTTTGGGAGATAAAGGTGGAAATAAAAATCTCTGAACATTTTCAACCGGCATAACTGCTTCCCAACTCATTTCAAAATTACCACAAATTAAGAGTAAACAGCATAATCTTAACAGCAAATTAGCAAATTAATTAACAAAGTAATCTGTTTAATTCCTAAAAACAACAACAAAAACCAGAAAGATTTAGAAAAAGGCATTCAAGAAATTGAGTCCAAAACTATAATGTAAGAAAAACTGA